GGCATGATGCCAAACGATAAATAATGTCTGTATTACTGTAAAAATCTATTCCAGGTACTATTGCACAAGACGCCTTCAGGCTAATCCGGGATGTTCAGAATGGAACCCTTGATGACGTGATAAGAATTCATGAACATCTGTGTACAGTTGTTTTCAATACAGTATCAGCTTACAGCGTTTGGTTTGTGCTACACTGGTTTACTTATGGAGCAGCCGTCGTTGTTACCGTCATACTTTTGTCAGAAGGGTCTTCCTCGCTTTAGCCTTTGTTGGTCTTCTATACCTGTTTGTATTACCCTGTTTCTGTGCGGCCAGGATCACAAGTAGCTGTGCTGGTAAGAGCTTTTATGTAGACAACAATTAACGATGAGAAAGTAATAATTTATATTATCATTCGTTACATTTTGTCTTCCTTTTCATTGTCCGAGAGGCCACCGCGTGACCTGCAATGACTGCCTACAAAAAATGGTCTGCTCATGCGCAATTTCGTCTAAATGTGTTTTGCTGCAAATAATATTCTACTCATGGGTAATTGTAACCGCACTCTTGGCGAAAAATGGCAGGTCGCTTCCCTGAGCTGACGATAGTGATGTAAATATCAAAACAAACATGGTGATCGAATGATAAACAATTATTGGACTCGATTTATCATTATCGCAAAATATCGTGATTTGTCAATGTATTTGCAGATCAGTTATCTGTGCTCTACGAACTTTCCACGTGCATCCATAACTCGATATGGGCACAGCTAAAAGCATGAACCAATTCTTTTATAACATGGCGACAACAACTTGGGCGCTAAAACATGTTTCGTTTGTGATTGACTACAAAGTTCTCACAATGTATGGTGAAGGAAAACAAAGGTCATTAGGATCCTAAATCTACTAATACTTTTTTTGTAACCTGTCTAATTCCTATTGAGCCATCATGAACGAAATCTCTATATACGCACGGCCGTGCGTATATAACATGAAGTGTGCAGTTTTAGTTTAGGTACAAAATTTCCGTCGAATTTAGAGCAAATTCCTTTTGTTTAAGTTTCGGCAATGTGAAGATTATTCTGCACAATCCAAACCCTACTTCGAGCCTTTGACCTTTACCTGGCTAAGATGTTTATTTAAGCTTGAGCATTTTGACTTTGTTTGTCTACGTTTTCATTTTAATTAATTCGAAGAAGCGAATTTTTCGTTGACAATTTTAGGAACCAGGTTAAGCGTTTTCGTTCAACTGTTACTCAACTGATTCTAATGACCTTTGTTTTCCTTCACCGTGCATCGCGAGAACCCCCATGTTGTTGTCGCCATGTTAAAAAAGAATTGGTTGATGCTTTCAGCTGTGCGTATATCGAGTTACGGATACACTTGGAAAGTTTGGAGAGCACTCAAGAAGCTAGAGTTACTCTCGGCTATTGCCTCGAGCAACTCTTTCGCTTCTCTCGTGCTTTCCAAATTTCCAATATACGTACGCTAAGCATGAACCAATTCTTTACTACATCCTAAGCCTCACATTCATGTGAAAAATCCTTTGTCTGGAAACATACCTACGAGGCTAAGGATAAAGTATTGCTATTCAAATTTGGGCAGCATTTATACAAGCGGTCTATTGCAAACAGTAGGCTGACATAAACCGCTTTGAAGATCCTTAAAATTCCAATACCCGTGTCTTTATTCTTATCTCTGGCCGTCTCAAATTACTTTACAAGAACGACTGTGGATGAGCCGGTACCTGTGTCATCGCTCTATATTTGGCTTCTTCAATACTGTATTGCCTTTTCCCTTCTTTTTCAAAGGAATCTACGAGAGAATCAACTGCACCACATCTGATGACTGGAATGAAGGCCATCCGTTCACAGATCGCCGCAACATCGCTCTGTTTATTTCCTACGCTAAGGACAGGCGCTGTGGGTTTAAAGTTTGTAGAATCACGTTTGATACTGCTCTGACCTGGGTTTCCTTTTTTCTTGGACTAACTGCTTTGCTGTTTCACTTTTTGCAATTAAAAAACTAACACGATCGAGAAAAAGACGGCTAGGGTTGTCAGGAAACCTTAGGTTGCAAATTGAAAAATCTGTAAACGAAACATCATTTCCAGTTGGTTAAAAAAGCCGCCATTTTGAATTTAAAAGATGCTAAGGACCAAAAAGGCCCAACGAGATTTTGTTAGTAGCAGGAAATCCATCAAGGGTTTCTATGCGTGATAGAAACCTCGAGCTCATAATCTAATTGTTACTTAGAAAACAGCCTTAAGAAAATACACGCGCTGATTGGTTAAAAATCGTATTTCTATTAAGCAATTAGATTATGAGCTCGAATTTCTATCGCTGCGCCTTCGTCAACTTTCACGCATTGAACTCGAGAGCGAATAATCTAATTGTTTTAGTATAAATCTACCAGTCGTTCAAAACTTAATCTAAATCCTCTTCACAGACACTTCGAAAACGCCAAGAAACAGCCGTCATTTTGTTAACAAGAGCACACTGCTACGCCACTCACTATCTATCACAGAATAGATAGTGAGTAGCGTAGCCAATCAGCGAACGACATTGGTGATAGAACGCTAGTAGATTTATACTAAAACTCGATAGAAACACGGTACATTTTTTCTATTTCTTAAATAGAAACACGATTTTTAACCAATCAGTGCGCGTATTTTCTTAAGACTGGTTAGTTGCATGAGCACACATAACCATCTGTTGTACTTTGCCCGGTTTTGAGCATGGGCAACCTCCAAAATGGACAACAAAAACATACAACAAAGAAGTTTGCCAGGTTTCCTAACCATTCCCCTCTATTAACTTTGAAACGATTTATTAAAATTGAAGGTTTTTCTGTCTATCCCAAGTTGGTTGTTGGAAAAAAAATGCAAAAGTTCTCTTACGAGTAATAGATCTTTGAAGTAATGAAGATCGTTAGCTTTGTAATGCCTTCCGTCATTGAGAATGGAGGTAATGTATATAGTATTAACAAAATCGTGTCAGTAACTACATTGTCGAATCCGATTGGTTGTTTCCAGTTGCTCGTGCAGCTTTCTAGGTTGAGTGTATCGCTGTTTCGATCTATATGTGATAAACATAATAAATAATTTGTATGTTACAATTAGATTATGAAAACGACATGATTGAAACGGTCAATACCTGGTACCTTTCTTTATAAGACGAGGATACGCTGGAGACAAACCATCTAACACAAGAATATCGAGTTGTTGGACTGCTTATCTCTAAGATTGGCATTGATTGGCCACTAATGAGCATCGTTAGACAGACTCTGTTTAAATTTAAACTGGAATTCTCCTGAGTTATGTTCCATCTTACTTCTTTGTCCGGAGACGCGGTGGCCTCATGGTTACTGCGCTCGTCTCCGCATCGAACGGTTTGGTATCGAACCCTGGCTGGGAACATTGCGTTTTGTTCTTGGGCAAGACACTTTACTCTCACAGTGCCTCTCTCCACCCAGGTGTGTAAATGGGTACCAGTGAATTTAATGCTGGGGGTAACCCTGCGATAGACTAGCATCCCAGTCAGGGGAAGCTGCAGAAATAGTCCTAGTCGCTTCGATTCATGCCACAGAAACCGCGATAAACTCCGGCCTGATGGGCCACATGGTTCCTACCGGCAGACTTACTCCTTTTTCAAATACATTCCGATATGTACAGAACTGAAAGTGCGCGTTAACACTTTCCTTTTTCTTTGGACTTCCAGCTTTGCTGCTTCACATCTTATTTTTTCTACTACAGAAAATTAACAAATTGACGTCAGTTTTTTATGCGTCTGTCCTCTTATTGATGATAAATTGCGTCATAACATTGTCAAAATGGCTGTGGATCCACGAGCCGCAGGCGAGTGGTTCCGCGGTAAACTTTGACAATGTTATGACGAAATTTATCATCAATAAGAGGACAGATGCATAAAAAAACTGACATCAATATATTTTTTTGCAATAAGAAGACCCCAAAATGGTCAAATGCCGGGAATAAATGAGGGGAAAACACGCCGTAACCCTGCCGTAAAACAAAGATAAGTGAATTTTATTCAAAATTACGTGAACTGTCAATAGCTTTTCTCGCTTTTTGATTGGCTTCTTAAAAAAGGCCACAAAATCTCATTGGTTAAAAAGTTGACAATTTGACAGCTGTAAGTTGAACTTCAAAGCTTGCATAAATTAAAATTTTATCATCCATCTGTACTCTTATTGATGATAAAAATGAGCCAGCGCACGAGAAATCAGACAGATATTGTAAAAAGAGCAGTTGCCTTCAGTTATAGACATCAAGGAGGCTGTGGACAGCTTCTAAAATGGAAGTTCAATCTCACCGTCACCGACAGTTTTTCCTTGTTTTTTCAGAACCGTTTCTAAATAATGAAACAATTGTGAAAAGAAAAAAAAAGACAATTCTGAGCGGACATCTTAAGAGTATTGCTGTACAGTTTCTCCTCCTCAGAGGTGCGAAACGTTTAATAGAAGGCGGCTGTGCGAGATGAGTGCATGCGCAAAAACACGCCTCCGCTCATAGCGTTCAGCGGAATCTCCCCACCCGAAAAACCCCTTTGAGCCTCTGCGAAGGAGAGAGGGCCCTTGCCTGGTTTCTAAAGATTACACCGATCCAGTCTAGCTATGTGCATGCCCTAAAAGCTGGTTTCTATATGATCGCTGCGCGGATCGCCAAGATTACTGAAAAGAGTTCAGCACTCCCTGCGATCAAATGGAAACAGAGTATAAAATGGGGGAGACAAGGGGGGAGGACGGGGATTGTATTCAAGAGGTGGGAGAGTTTTTCGTGTTTTGCCCCCACCCCCAACCCCTCCACCTTAGTCTCGAGTCCAAGACTGGACGCGACAGAGCAGCGAAAATCGAGCCAACCCCCCCTCCCCCCCCCTCTATCCTCTCCCCTTCCCAAATTTACGACTGCCACGCAAGCTAGAAATTTTACTAAGAAGGTTTTTCATGTGAAGAGGTACTTTGCTATATGGCAAAGCAGTCTTAATTGAGGTAAATCCAATCGTTTCTTTTGGTTCTTTCTTGGTCGGGATTTTGCCTCACGGAAACGGTCATAAGCCGTGTAGTTATTGGTTTGAAAGCCGGCAAATTTGAAGCAAGTATGGGCCGAGTTCCACGTGATAAACTGCTCACTAACGTTACTTTCTCGACCCTTACTGGGGAATGTTGGCTCCTCGACTGCAATCGGTAGGTCCGCCACGACCTCGGGCCAATATTCTCCACTGCAGCACTCGCGCTCGCTTAGTATAAGATGTTATTACTGATTTAGGCAGACGTAACGTGGAAGATCTGGTTATAGTAAATAGATCTTATTTGATATTTGACTGCGTGACTGAATAATTTTCCTGTTCTTCCACTGCGCACGCGTACGAGATTATAGAAAATGGAAATGAAAATAACTTGAGTCACAAATAAATACAAAGGAAGTCGATTTCCAATTATTTACGTGAATGTTTCCGTTAAATGGACGTTAAGAGGTTAAAAGAATACGTTAAATCTTTGGTCCTAACATGAAAATGCGGGGATGGCTAGACAAGATGAGGTCATGGAAGGTAATAATGCGCTAGCAAATGATGAAGAACAACATCTCATTCCTCCGCCACCACCAACTTATGTGTACTTCCGGCTTGGCCGAGAGCAACATGATGTCGATAAACGCAAAGGATTTGTGTTAAATATCTTCAAAGTTACCTTCTGTTTGCTTGGATTATGGAGTCATCAGGCTTGGAACTTCATTCCTCGCGTGCTAGTCACCGCTATTTGCGTTTATCAAGTCGTTTACGATTTCTATGTTGTGCTAGGATGTCACGGTTTTGATTGCAGCTTCTTACAAAACTCCACGGATTCTAAAAAGCCTTCTCACCACAAAGACGACCGTCAGATTGCCAATACTGTGTACACTATAGTTTCCCTCGCAGCTGTGGTTTCGTATGTCCTTTTCATAGGTTGTTTCATTGTAGCCCGACGCAAGGATTCGGCTTTAGTAGCACCCTCCGAATCACTGCAGGAAGACCTCGAGACACCGAATGTCTGGTGCTTGTATTTTGCATTTGTTATTATAACAGTGCTTTATTTAACATCGGTGGCTATGTTTTACGCCATCATATGGAGTCAGCCACGAAATTCGTACTTCGATATTCTTGCCACAGGAGTGGGTATGCAACTTTTGGCGCAGTGGACCGCAATAACTACTTGTCACGTGTTTGCCGTCAGTTCCTTTACACTTGGTGAGTTGTGTTCGTACAGAGCGGTTTTTAATTGTAGAGTGTAAGGGTGCTTACCATTAAGCCAAAAAGCTGGAAATTTCGGTTGAAAGTCAAATGGAACGGTAATTTTCCGGGAAATCCGTTGGGAAATCGTTAGGCTACCTACAGAGATAATCCTCTTTTTCCGTTCAGAACGGAACGGTGGAAGTTTTCGGAAATTTCGTTTCCATTTGCTACATTTTCGAGTTTGCAGTCTCTCAAGGCTGCCGCACATTAGACGAATTTTTGCCGTAGAACTGCAGATTTTTGTTGGGGTCAAATCGCGTTAAAATTTGTCGGGCCATCAGCTTGCCGCACGCTAGTCGAATTTTTGTCACCCCTAACCGCGTTGAGGCTTGGGGCCGAGCCATCCAAACTCAAGATGGCGCCTATTCCGCTGACGTGACTCTCGTAACATTTCCTAATTGGTTGAGGAGCGCGCGAGCCCCGACAAATTGTCTTGGTCCACCACACACTAGCCGACAAGGCCCGACAAGACGTTTTGAGATCTAGCGCTGTCAGATATCGCCCGACAAACCCCGATCTTGTCGCAGACTTGTCTAAATTCACCGCACACTAGCCGACAAGTGAAGATTTTTTGTCGGCTTGTGTGCGGCGACCTTTATCAGCCAAAAACAAAAACGGGAAATCGAACCGGGGGAGGTATTTCCTTATATGGGCTATATATATGCATGTGCGGCCCCAAAGGGTATGGTTTTTCAGTTGTTTTGGTCATAAATAGGGTATAGTTTTGCACTCTGGTCTTTAATTCAGTATGTTTTTTAGAAGAAGCTACTTTTTCATCATTATCAATAAGACCATCAACAAAAGGCCTTCATAAATTATGTTTAGAGCAACTGTGCCTGTCGCAACGGTCATAAATAGGTTATCGAATTTTTGGTCGGGTCATAAATAGGGTAGGGAAGATTGCAGATTTTGATCATAAATAGGGTGAGGGTTTCGGCAAGCGGACCGCGCACACCGCCCCCACCAAAGTTTTCTGGGAGTATCCTCCCAGGAAATCGAATTGTAAATGGTAAGCGTCGTGTCTTTCGGTTGGTTTGTCTGGTTTACTGATTTTGGAAAAAAAAAACCCTACCATTATTCCAAAGGTCATTCCAACCGGTTTATTCTGACAAATGGTAAGCAACCAGATAAGCGATCAAAACGGTCCGTTAGATAAAATGATAACGACTCAGTGAACAAACGAGAACCTGGGCAGAGACGTTACTGGCACCAGAGGTGGAGTTACACGAACACATGGGCTCCTACCCGCACCAAAGGTGGGAAACAAGTTTTACAGAGCGAATAACATTCCTTGTTCCGCGAGGGAGTGAGCAACGCTTCCTTCTGTGCGGAATATCGCATGACGCTTTTTGTTTCTTGTCGTAAGTTAAAACGTACCTTCTGGTGTGTTCTCCAGAAATGATAATAAGAGAACCTACCCATGCATGTAATCATCGGAATGATGTAATAGCTATTTTTATCTCCGTCTGATTGACACGTGGTTATAGGAGGGTCACTCTGCTTATTTTTAATTCGTGAACGTCAAATTAAGATATCAACTCAAAAAAGGACTAATGATTGAAAATAACTCACCAGCTATTGTAATTTAAGGCAACGGTAGCAAAATATCTGTTATTAGTTACTTCGTTCGGTGTTACTGATTTTCTGGTCTTTTCAACGTTTGCTTGTTCTTTTGAGGTTGGTCTAGTGAACTGCTACAACTTGTCTTTTTATTTGCTTTTGATATTATACATTCTTCAAGTACCCTTGTACAAGATGCTTTTAGGGTCATCCGCACTTTCACTGGCGGGTAGTAGCAAATTCAATGTATCAACGAAAATGCGTTTAGTTTCTGAGTAGCTTATAAAATAATTTACAGCTCAAAACTGGTCACACCTACGAAGCTTGAACATTGGTGTGATGCCAAACGATAAACGATGTCTAATTAGATATTTATTCCAGGTACTATTGCACAAGACGCCTTCAGGCGTATCCGGGACGAGCAGAATAGAACCCTGGATGACGTCATAAGAATTCACGAAGAGCTGTGTACAGTTGTTTTGAATACAGTGTCAGCTTACAGCGTGTGGTTCGTGGTGCACTGGTTTACTTACGGAGTAGGCGTTGTTTTATCTGTCATCTACATATCCAAAGAATTGCTTTCGAGGAACAAATATAGCACTGCAACCATAAACCTAGTGTATCTCGGCTTGTTCTTCCTATGCCATCTCTATCTGTTTCTTCTTCCCTGTTTGTTTGCCGCCAGGATTACAAGCAGTTGCACAGGTAAGAAAATACTCTAAGACCGCAGAATGAAAATACTTCAGACGCAAATATTAACTAATATATACAAGGGTAAACCAATGGTGTATGATAAAACAATGCAGAGTGGTAAAGAGTTCGTGCTCTCATGATGGTATGGATGAAGGGATTTCACACCATTTCTCGGCTATCAGTAGATTTTCCAGATCTCTGTTATAAAATTCGTGGTTTCTCAGCATCAGTTAAAGCCATCTAGACTATCTTTGGTATTACAAAATTATAAATACTTCCGAATGAATGAGACTAAGTCTCTGCAGATGCGTTCGTGATCACATTTGTTTTATTTAGTGATCTCGACTCATTCGAGACTGGACCTGAAAAAAGCGTCAGTTCGTAGCAGCAAGCAGACAGCGGTGAGAATAAAGAAATAATCGTGGTATTGCTTTGAGTTATCGCGAAATTCTCATATCTAGCATGAACGAAAAAATATATAACAGTGACTAACGATAAAAATTGTCATGAGGCATTGTATGTCTGATATCAGACTACCTAAGAATACCTGTAGAAAGTTACTCTTCCCATCGCTGATAACTACCGGTAACAAAAATAAATTGGAAAGGTGTAAAAGGTGGGTGATGGGGAATTTCCATCCTTACTACCCTCTTGGGCTCTTCTCAGGTTTGGCTCTCCTGCGCAGTTACTTGAAACAGTCTCAGTTTCTGTGAACTTGACATCAACAGTATTTTCAGTGCCTCCATGGACCGACGCTTAAATAAATCTGGTCAAAATCTAGACAAATCATCATATTTGCTTCACCTCGTCCCAGGAGATAACTCTATTACACCACCAAAAAGGTAGTTCAGAAGGCCAATAACTAAGATTAACCAATCAGATTGTTCTATTGCGGTCGAATATTCTTTAAGTATTTGACTGGCTAGTGTCCCGAAGTATATTGCCCAGTAGTTTTATTAATTACTTTTATCAATCGTAAGCAAAAAACCAAACAAA